GAGAAATGAGAATAAAAATAACTAATAATGATAATCTAATAATCTTGAAGATTGGTATGGGGTCATCCAAGATCATTGAGATATTTATGTGTTCTAATATAAATTTTGTTTTATTTAATAAATATTTATTTTATAAAATGCATATTTATATTCCAAATTAATTTTTCAACCAAGAATTATTTTTGTTAAAAATTTATATGTATGTCTAATTTGAAAATTTAATACATATAAAGGTATGATTAAAAATAAATATAAAAGAAAATATGAGAAATAATATACATAGAATATTCATTTTTTGATGTAAAATAAAGAAGTTTTTTATTTAATAAATATTTATTTTATAAAATGCATATTTATATTCCAAATTAATTTTTCAACCAAGAATTATTTTTGTTAAAAATTTATATGTATGTCTAATTTGAAAATTTAATACATATAAAGGTATGATTAAAAATAAATATAAAAGAAAATATGAGAAATAATATACATAGAATATTCATTTTTTGATGTAAAATAAAGAAGTTTGATTGTAGATCAGTTATTATATTTTGGAGTGAAAAATAAATTTTTGGGTTGGAGATGATCTAAGTTTAAGATCTAAATAAAAGCTCTTTCATAGTCTAATCCATTATTTTGGTAGAAATACTGAAGAAAAGGCCTTTGCAGTCTCTTCTCAATTGCCGAAGACCGGAAGAAAAGGTGAGAAGATCACCTAAAGATAAACCACAGCCGCCTCCTCCCGCCACCGTTGCTGTTGAAGGAAATGGACGGAGCCACCATCATGCAAGGTGGTCGCTATCATCCTAGCAGAAAAAGAAATTGGATGGATGGCACAAAATAGAGGCTGCAGCAGGTTGTGGAGGAGGTGATGGTTGAAGGCTTAGGCGTTGAGTTGGTTGATGGCGACCATCTCTAATGGAATGGCAAATTAATGTTTGCTGTTCTTCCTTCGCTCCAACCGAGCGGTAATTTTGCTGCTATTTTATCGCGGGTGTTGTTCACCCGTTAAATTTTTATGTGTCAACGGGATTTGCCCACGAAATGGAGAAAGACGGTTACAAGGAGACCAAGCCCACGATATGGAGTTTGATTGGAGCAGAGTTACGGCAATTTTGGAGTTTTGATATATTTTGCAGTGGAAAATGGGGTTTTGGGTTGGAGATGGAGAACTCTATTTTTCAAGGCAAAATATAACAAAACTCTAAAATGCCGTGGTGCTGCTCCAATTGAACTGTATTTTAAGTACTTCTGCGAAGGTAACAATCCTTCTCCCTTTCGCGAGTTTTTTCAGTTGAGAGAACAAAATAGCGTAGGTGAACTGTGCAACGCCAATATTGACGTCGCACTGTTCACCCGCAAGTAAATGGCGGAAGATTTGGCGTTCGGCTGGAGTGACCGAACGACCCCAAACGCATGTTTGGCGTTCGGCTGGAACGACCGAACGACGCCAAACGCATGTTTGACGTTCGGCTGGAGATGCTTTTAGGCGATGGATTTGCCGATTTGGAGGTGTAGGTTGTAGCCATGCCTAGACTGTTCTCGTTTGAGGAAGCTGAGCCGCGGGGTTCAAAAAGCCAAGAAGTTCAACCAGGTTTCTAGCAGGGAGGTGTGCGGAATTAGTTAGCATTTTTGACCCATTCTAATTAAGTGAAAATTCAAAATTATTAAAATAATTTATCACTAAAAAGAAAAGAAACAGTAAATGCTGATTAAGGTCTGTTTGAGAAAAAATTATTACATATGGACTACAATCAAGTAGAGCCACGTGGCTTTCTTTTTTCTATCTTGTCAGCGTATACAAAAGAGAGAAAATTTAACAAAAGCCTACGCGACTCCACCTAATTGGAGTACGGACGAAAAGTTACATCCAGACTCTTTACCTAATAATCTTTCTTATTTGAGACAGCTCTCATCATATTTTTTTTTTCACACAACAATTATAATTTAATTTAACTGTTGATTACTCTCTATTATTATTATTTTTTTCAGAAACTTCTGAGGTGAAATTTGTTTTTTGAAAAAAAAAAAAAGTTAGACTATTTTTCTCACAATTATAAAAAGCTACAATCATTCCAAACAGATTCTAAATATCTCCAATAAATTATGGCGTTGGATGCACTATTTGCATTAAATTTCGACATCTTAATCATAACTTTGATGAAATTAATTAAAAAAAAAAACATATTTAATGGAAAAAAGAACAGAATATGTGAAACCAAAAAGATTGGCATTGTAATTCATTTTCACGTAAGATTATGGATCATTTAATCAAAACATTTAGATAAACGCATTCCATTGAGCTTTCAGCTCGCACAATAATTTCCATATACACGAGAATCCTTTCAAACTCAATACATACAAAATGCATAAAGTAGAATCAACTAATGATTCAATTTAGGATTTTTTTGGGCAGTTTTTTTTGCTACTTTATGAAGCAGCTTTATAATACAAAAATTTCAAATTCAAAAAAATTTAATACTAAGAACTGTTTCAAAAGCAGTAAGATAAGAAAGCTTTTTCAAACGAAACCTTTCACTTCATTTGGGATAATTTTCTTACTATTTTATAAAACAAATTTTTAGTATAAAAATTTCAAATATGCCTTCCTAGGAGA